ATTTAATGTATTTAATACTGTTTTAATGAGAATCATTTCATCTAATTCTACTAAATTGGTCTATATTTCAACCTTTTGGGTTTGGTTTTTTTTTCCCCCCAATCCCCATTTCTGTGTGGGAGGAGTCATAGAGTGATAGAAAAATTCTCTAAATGACAATAAATAGCAATGGGTCTTTCAAACCATAGCAAGGCTTCAGCAGCAGCTCCAACACTGACCCTGCAGGTCCTGCCATGCTGATGGTGTCCAAGCCCTCTTCTAACCTGTGGGTTTCAAGGCAATGGAGCCCATAGTATGGGGGTAATGTTACCTCCGCATTAAAGACACCCCATCTTCTGGGCATCCAAAAGGTGACAGATCTTCACTGGTAAGAGGAGTTTGCAGATCTACACTTTGGAACTGGAATCCTCTGCTCTCCAGGGGATCATCCTCCAGACCAAAGGGGTTCCAGCACAAAGCAGCTGAGAGCAGGACTGATGGGCAGAGCAGCTCTCCTCCTTCTGCACTGAGGGTCTCTCCTGTGGCCTCCCAGGACTCTCAAAACAGCACTTGTAGTGTAGCAAAAATGCCAGGGATTTCTGCCTTCAGAAGTGACTCCTCAGGTGGGGCAGAGGGAATAGCACAACAATAAACACACACACACACCCCCTCCCTTCGAGCTCTGTTCTGCATTCAGTAAACCTGGGAGTGACAATGGTCAGAAGCTCTTTCCTCTCAGGGGTAGATGTAACCTGCAAGCACTCCTGGTTCCTCTCAGCACTGGTGAGACCCCACCTCGAGTGCTGTGTCCAGTTTTGGGCCCCCTACCATAAAAAAGACATTGAGGTGCTGGAGCGGGTCCAGAGAAGGGCGACAAATATGGTGAGGGGTCTGGAGAATAAATCTTATGAGGAGAGGCTGAGGGAGCTGGGGTTATTCATCCTGGAGAAGAGGAGGCTGAGGGGAGACCTTATTGCTCTCTACAACTACCTGAAAGGAGGGTGTAGAGAGATGGGGGTCGGTCTCTTCTCTCAAGTCACAGGCGACAGGACGAGAGGAAACGGCCTCAAGTTGCGCCAGGGGAGGTTCAGGCTGGATATTAGGAAAAAATTTTTCACCGAAAGGGTTCTCAGGCATTGGAATGGGCTGCCCAGGGAGGTGGTTGAGGCACCATCCCTGGAGGTGTTCAAAAGACGGGTTGATGTAGTGCTGGGAGGTCTGGTTTAGTGATGATGCTCCTTGTTTGTTGTGTGGGTGACTATTCTTGTCAGTTAGGTTGACGGTTGGACAAGATGATCTTTAAGGTCCCTTCCAACCTAGAAGATTCTGTGATTCTGTGATTCTGTGATTCTGTTGCTGCACAGCACAAATGACTCCTCTGGAGCCCACAGCAGAGTCCCCTGCTCCCCATTGCACCCTCAGCCAGCACCAAACCAGGATCACACCAGGATCTGCACAAAGGTCGCCCTGGAAGGACAGAGGTCATTTGGGAGACTATAGTGTGACACATGGAAGAGGTTCTGCTCAGAGGTGTCTGTCCTGACTCCTTGCTGTCTTTTCTTTTTCAAACAGGCACCTGTGTGCAGAGGAAATAAATGTCCAACAGCAGCTCCATCATTGAGTTCCTCCTCCTGGCATTCGCAGACACACGGGAGCTGCAGCTCTTGCACTTCTGGCTCTTCCTGGGCATCTACCTGGCTGCCCTCCTGGGCAACGGCCTCATCATCACTGCCATCGCCTGTGACCACCGTCTCCACACCCCCATGTACTTCTTCCTCCTCAGCCTCGCTGTCACTGACCTGGGCTCCATCTCCACCACTGTCCCCAAAACCATGGCCAACTCCCTTTGGGACACCAGAGTCATTTCCTATGCAGGATGTGTTTCCCAGGTCTTTCTTTTTCCTTTTCTGATTTTAGCAGAGTTCTATTTTCTCACCATCATGGCCTATGACCGCTACGTTGCCATCTGCAAACCTCTGCACTATGAGACCCTCCTGGGCAGCAGAGCTTGTGTCCACATGGCAGCAGCTGCCTGGGGCACTGGCTTTCTCACTGCTCTCCTGCACACAGTTACTACGTTTTCAATACCCCTCTGCCAAGGAAACTCTGTGGACCAATTCTTCTGTGAAATCCCCCAGATCCTCAAGCTCTCCCGCTCAGAGACAGAGTACCTCAAAGAAGTTGGGCTTCTTGTAGTCACTGTGTTTTTTTCTTTTATTTGTTTTGTGTTCCTTGTGGTGTCCTATGTGCAGATCTTCAGGGCCGTGCTGAGGATTCCCTCGGAGCAGGGACGCCACAAAGCCTTTTCCACCTGCCTCCCTCACCTGGCTGTGCTCTCCCTGTTTCTCATCACTTCAGTGTTTTCCTACCTGAAGCCCCCCTCCATCTCCTTCCCATCCCTGGATCTAGTGCTTGCAGTTCTGTACTCAGTGGTGCCTCCAGCAGTGAACCCCCTCATCTACAGCATGAGGAACCAGGAGCTCAAGGCTGCCCTCAGGAAACTGATCAGAGGGTTTTTCAGCAGCCATAGACTTTTTTCCTTCCTCTGTAAATGATTTCCAGTGTTTGTTGTGTTGAGCCAAGCCTTCCAGTGTTTCTCTTTGTTTCCTTCTTTTCTTTCTTCTTCCACTTGTAATGATGTTTTGGCAACGAAATGTCATTATCCATCCCATCCAGCCTAAGTATCCACCTGTCCGGTCTGACCCAGAGACTTTGAGTAAATGAAGAGTCAGGTTCTCTGTGTCTTTAAATAAAATAAATGAACCAGCTGCACCTTCTTTTTCTGAGATCCATCATCACCAGAGTATGAATAGAGGGGA